AAACAAATGAGGTATGTTCTCGCTTAGTGTCCTACCTTACCATTAAATGTTCCCACAAACCAAAAGAGATTTTAAGACCTTAGCTTTTTACAAAGATTTTCCTTTTATATGACCATGACCATGACATTCTCACACAGTTTGGACAGCTACTTTATAATGTAAGAGCACTCATTTTCGCAGAAACCTTGTTTATATAATATATTATATTTATTTTAATGTATAAATATATATATTTATATATATGTCTTTATATTCAATTTCTGTAGGTGCAGGATAATAATCTCCTAACTAGTAGATTGCGCATGGTCAAGCATAGACACATTCTGGATTATGACAGGTCAAATTATTGGGTTGTGTGAAAGAACATTCTGAAAATCAGTCCACTAGAATTTCTAAAATCTCTTACACATTCTCTGACAATGAAATTATTTTTGATTACATAGTGAACTGACTCTTTATACTTGGAGTGTCCCATTTGCCAATTTTAGTAAATTGGCAAATGGAACAATGCAGTTTGAAAAGTAAAATATACTGAAGCCAGGTGTCTTTCAGGATGCAGTGAGAAGACTCAAGAGCAGATGAAGACTGAAGAAGTGTGCTTTTATCAGAAAGCTGTCGCTAGAGCTGCAGTAGATGGCAGTCTACTTTCATGAGGGCAGTCATCATAAACAAAGGGCATGTTTCAAAATCTCTGTATTAATTTTGTCCTGGGCTGGAGAAACATTAGTTGTGCTTGTGTACGGAAAGGGAGAAAAGGGCTGTTTGAGAAAATGGTTGTTTGAGTCTGGTTTTGAATAGCTGTCAAACAGCAGACTTGCAGAAGTAGCCTAACCTGAAATCACCATCCCTTTTTTTATGGTGATGGGTGATACTGATAAAATTTTACTGGTATTTTCCACCAGTTAACTGCTTTTCTCTGCAAAGATAAATAAAACTTTGTAAGGCTCAAGTGCAGCTCTGTATATCTGATGTGTGTGGGAGAGGACTGTAACCACAGTCTCATGGAGTGTGCTGCATTTCCTGAGGTCTTTTACTTATTAACGTGATAGATGAATGTGTGGAAAAAACCAAGTTATATGAACTTACAAAAAGATGCAGGGCTCTTATAACCAGACCATACATTTAGCAGAGGGAAAATTATTATTTATACTGTTCATCTTATCAGAGTGTCTAGGCACTGTGACAGAGACCCACACCCTTTTATGCTATTGTTTAATTAGCAGCTTCCTCAAGTCTGGAAGTTGCAAGATTCCTGTATTATTCAGCTGTGATTGCACTAACATTTATTTGGAGCATTCTGTTTCCTAAACCCTCATATTTTCTCTGTGTTCAGAGGCAATTTGGAAGGCGATATACTACTCACCTGAACCAGAGGATCACAGAATCCTCAAGGCTGGAGGGGCCATTTAGTTGATCAGGACTAAAATCACCTATGTCCCAGCTCACAGTAGAGTCATGTAGAGGAAGCTGCCAGGACCACGTGTAGTTGATTTTAATTATCTCCAAGGGCTGAAATGCCAAAACTTCTATGGGCAAACTGTACAAAGGATTGACTACTCCCATGGTGTGAAAAAAAAAAAGGCCAAAATCAAAAACCGAACAGGAAAATCTTCTGGAGTGTTCAGGTGGAATTTCATGTCATCCAGTTTGTACCCATTGCCTCTTGTCCTGTCACTGAGAAGAGCTTAGGTCCATACACTTCTTTTTTTCCCACTAAGTTTTCCCACTATTTTCTATAAATCAATAAAATCCTTCAAGAGCCTTCTCTTCTTCAGACTAAACACTCCCAACTCTCTCAGTGTGTCATCATACGACAAATTTTCGAGTCCCTTTATGGTCCTTTGCTAGAGGTACTCTGGCATGTCCACATCTGTTACATGCTTGGGAAACTCAGACCTGGACCAGCACTCCAGATGTATCTTAACTCTACCAGTGCTGATCAGAGGGAAAGGATCACCTTACTCCAGCTGCTGCTGCTGTTTTTCCTGGTGCAACTCAGGATGTCAATCGCTGTCTTTGCTGTGCAGGTGAGTTGCTGGTGAGTTGACAACTTTTTGTTAAGCATGTGAGCCCCAGATCCTTCTCTGTGTAGCTGTTTTCCAGCCGACTGGCCCCAGCATATATTGCTGTCTGGGTTTGTTCATCCACAAGAGCAGGACTTCCCTTTGTTGAACTTCAATATCGTAGAAGGTTGTCAAGTTGGTTAAGCACAATTTACCTTTCATAAGTCCTTCCTGATCCTAATTACTTTCTTGTCCTTGGCTTTGGCAAGGGTTTCCAGCATTGACTGTTCCATCACTTCCCCAAGAACTGAAGTGAGGCTGACCAGCCTCTAACTCTCGGATCCTCCTTCTTTCAGGGACAGGAGTGATATTTGCTGTCTTACTTCAGGGACCACTCTGGTCACCCACAATCTTTCCAAGGCAATAGAGGGTAGCTTGCAGTACCGTGACTCAGCTTCTTCAGCTCTGTGCATGCCATCCTAAATCATTCCATGGATGTGTGTATGTCCTGTTTTTTTCACGTACTTCCTAACCATTTTTTGCTCCATCCAAGGAAAGTCTTCCTTGCTCCATATTTTTCGTCTAGTGTCAAAGGCCTTAAAATTCCTGAAGAGTGCTTTTGCCTGTAAAGATAGGCAATGAAGGCAAAGAAGGCATTGAGCACCTCAGCCTTTTCTTTCAACTCATGTAGCTGTAGAAACTTTCCTCATTACCCTTCCCATTTCTCATCTGTCCTAGTTTCAGCCCATACAGAGTTGTTTTTGCATTTGCTGGGATGGAGGTATGGGAAGGTCAAGGAGGCTGGAGCCATATGGATCTGTACAGGTGATTTATTCTATACTAGTCATGTCATCACTGTAGGGCATGACTTTGGGTAGAATAAAAGGCAGAGTGGAAAGACAGACATTTTTGTTCCGTCTTTACCTGTGAAAGCAAAGTGCTGAATAGGGTGGTGCAGTTGGTGTGTTCTGGATGGAGCCATGTGGACTGGCCTGGGAGATTTGTCCGACATTGTTTTCCATTGCCTCAGATGTGGGACAAAAACCCCCACATTAGCTGTGGTAATGTCCACCCTTTTCTCCTTTGTCTCTGGAAAAGCCACATGGCCACCAGGGATGCAGTAACACCCACCATTTTTCTCCTTTGTCTCGGGAAAAGCTGCACATTGCTGGCCATGGTAACAATGGGATAGGTGGACTTCCATAAGCATTTTTGGCATGTACTCACCCTCTTTTATATATTGTTATTATTAGTATTGTTGCTGTAACTGTTTGTTTTCCTTATCTTATTACTGTTTTTCCAGTAGATTGTTGTCTCAACCCATAATCCCTCTCTTTCTGTCCCTTTCTCACTGGAGGGGATTAGGGAAAGGGAAGTGGCTGTTCAGAGCCTAATTTCCAATTGATCTTAAACCACAACATCACCTTGTTCAGCTCCAGATGGGCTTTGGCTTTCCTCATCTCATCCCTGCATGATTGTACAGTGCTCTGCATTCCTCCTTATTCAGCTGTCCCCACTTCCGCCTCTCCATACATTTCCTGTTTATATCAAGTTTAGTCAGGAGCTCTCTGGCCATCTGTGTAGGCCTTTTGTTGCCTTTGTTTGAACTCTGCATATCAGATTGAACAATTCCTGAGCATAAAGGAGGTGATCTTTGAAAATTAAACACCTGCCCTGGACTCATCTTTTCTCCAGGGCCAGAACCCATGTGACTCTTCCAAGCAACTCTGAAGATGTTAAAGTCTGCTCTGCAAACTTCAGTTCCATTCTTTGCTTTTCTCCCACCTTTCAAATTTCTGAATTCACCGTCTCATGATCCCTGCAGCAAAAACCTTCACATGCCCACACATTTCTTCTGGTGTTGTGAGTGCCAAGCTTGGCTTTCAGTCACGAGTGTCAGGAAGTTGCTTGTCAATGCACTGAATCTGTTCTGTTCTCAAGCTTTAGTTTGACCAGTTAATATCCTTCAGCCCAAAATTTATTCTAATGTAAAATTTCCAGCTACTACTTTTGGCAAAGATAAATTCATGGCTGTTAAATACAATCAAAAGCAAAGTGTTTAAAGCCTTTAAGATTGTTGGCATTTTTGAGCTCATTGCCCATGCCATTTTGCATTAAGTCCATAATCATTAGCTGAAAAGAGAAACTTAAAACTAGATTGTATCAAAATATTAGGTATTAATGTGAATGTTCTCCCTATCTCAGTAACTTTTTTGTGTCAAATATTTTATTGCATACTGCAGGTTGAAGATGCATTTATCCTCAGTTTCACATTTTTGGATCCAGTATGACCTCACAACATCTGCAAAAGGCTGGCGCTAAAGAGGGGCACTGCAGGACTCTTGTGGAATTGGAAGAAAGGAAAGAACTTTCTGCTTGTTCATAAATGTATGTAGAAATGCTCTGAATGCATTTCCTATAGCAAACCACTCCAAGAGCAAACTTGAGTGATAATCCTGCAATATTTGCTCTTAATATGACCCAGAACTGTAGTCCCAGCCATTTTCCACTCTCTCAGTCTTGCTTTAATATCTCCTAGTGTAAAAGTTAGATTTCCATAGGGAAAAGAGAAAGAAAAAAAAAAAGCTAAACATGGAGAGGGCATCAATTTTGCGGTGGGCTGTCTCCTGGTTGATCAGTCTTACCTGCTGTGATTGATGCCTGCACTAATATTTGCACAGTGCTGGCTGCCTTCAGAACCTGAGACTGGAGTAAAGAAGCAGGAGATTTTGGAGGATGCATATGGTAATGCTAGGAGGTAAGGCCATAACAAGGCCACTCAAGCAGATCCTCTCTTTAACTGTTTTGGAAATAAAGTGTTGTGTTCCTCTGGTTTTTATTGTTCTCTGTGGTGTGCTGCTTCTCAGTCACTTTGAAAAATATTTATGTCTTCTGTCTCTTTCAGGGACTCTTTTTTTCTCCCTCTGAGTACTTTTCTACATTTCTCATCCCCAACTTGTCCTGAAAGGATTTTTCTTCCTCTGTAGCTTGTCCACCCCTTTTTAATCTTCTTTCCTTTCTACTTACAACAACTGAAGAACTGTGTGTTCTTCCCATGAAGGATTAAATTCTTTGAAAGACAAAACTGACACAACTGTCAGTTCTCTGGCCTTAGCAGTGGCTACTACCATGGCTTGCATGTAAAGCTGTAATGCTTGACTTGTAGTTTTACAGTACATGAACATCTGGAAAGTGTGATAGCTTTTCAGTCTCACTGGTGTGTAATAAAACCAGGAACAGGTTGCCTAGAGAGGTGATACATGTCCCACTCCTGGAAAAATTAAAGGTCAAGTTGGACAGTGCTCTGACCAACTGATATAATTGAAGATGTACCTGCTTAGTGCAGGGGCTTGGGCTAAATGATCTTCTCTAATCCAAACCTTCCAACCCAGAAAGAAAAATTCCATCCAAAGTAAACATCAGAGTTCAAGTCTGAGCGAACCTTCATGAAATTCTTCTTGCCATCTGGAATTACAGATGACAGTGGCCTGGATGCAAATTTGCCTCAGTGATTTTGTGGGAGGAAGGATACATGTAACAGAACAAGGATGAGTCCAAGCCGGTGTTTTTTCTGATGTTTGTTGTGTAATTATGAAGCCACTTGTGTCAGAAACAGAGTACAGGGTCCCTTTTTCAGTTCTCACAGTCTTGAGTAAGCTGTAACACAAGCAATTGCTCTTAGAATTGGCTCAGAGGAATCAGAGATTATTTTTCCTCCTGCAATTGATAGTTCTCTCTGAGGAGATGTAAGCATAACCAGAGCTCTCTGGCAGCTAGGTGGTGTATTTTACTGTGCCCTTATCCTGAATCATGGGCATCTTGTATCATAGAAGCAAATACAAGGCATTTGTTTTAAATACAAAATTTATTCATTAATTCACTAGTAAAATAGCAGTTCTTTTTACCCCCCACATAAAACAAATAACTTGAAAGGCATACAATACAAAAATAATCAGTTGCAACAGATAATCTGCAAATTTCAAACAAAAGCTATGTTAATAGGTTTCCCAAGTCAGTTAATGTCTGAAAACCAAAAATGAGAGCTTTCTTCTGAAACTCCTTATGAAGCAGAAATCAAGATTGATAATACCATGATAGTTCATTTATCTTGCAGTGTAAGAAACTCCTATTGCCAGAGATGGTGACTTTTACTAGACACAGCCTGAGCATTTCTATCTCTCTGGAGATTTATTCTAATTGGAAATACTGAGCTCATTTACATATCCCCTCCAACTCCACTCTGAGTCACAAATGATCAATGTTTTCCTGGACAATTTCACTTTAAGTAGTGTTGCTATTAGCGATCAATGCTACAAGTCTTCTTCCAGTTTTCCATGCTCCGCAGATGCAGGATTTTACTGGCTGCCTGTCTCTCATGTTTTGACAGGTGTTGCTCTTCCTGAGGTACTCTGGAAATCTGTATCCTGTTGGCAACCGATTTCTTGGATGAATAAATGAGAATTTAACCCCCTTCTGTGGGGTTTGGGTCTTGGCCAGCTGTTTGCTGTTGCTCCAGAGATAATGTGTATGGTGGTGGCTGTTCCTGCTCATTTGTTTCACTGACAAACTCTGCACTGCTTTCACTGTATGGAGGCGGAGGAATATTGATAAATTCTTGCTGTTTTAGTGTGGAGGCAACTGACAGTGGGGAGACAAGTTTTTCAGGATCTATGCTGTCTTCATAAGAGGGAGGGTAGAAGTCAGGCCTAAAATAAGCAAACGAAAAAGACACACATCATGGTGAAGTGTGATTTGTCTCACAGAGCTTGGTTAGATGCTTCGTCTGTTATGTTTCCAGAATTTAGAATGAGGCTTTAACTGTAAACAGACATCTAAGTGTGTTTAAAGAATGAAACACATTAATATAAAATGTAGACATAACTGGTATCATTTGCCTTGTCTTTGTACAAAATGTTTTATTAAAACAGCATTCTAAAAAGACAAGCCTTCCCCATGAAAATTCCCAACCATGGCATACACTCATTCTTGTGAGTATTTTAATAAGTGAGAGAAAAGTTTAATTTGGAAGAAGAATAAGATCAGTGTTCAAAGTTATTTATTATTGCAATAACCATTGTTTTCCACAGTTTTAAAATAAATTTGGTATGATTCTGCTTATCTAACCAAAATTTACTGAATGTTGCTTTTATAGTGTCTTTAGAACACCCTTTGTCGGTGTTTCCAGTACGGTTTCCACAACAGTCCAGGAAAAGAAATTTGTATCCAGTGACCATGTTAAAGAGTTTTGCCAGGCCTAGAGAAGTTTAAGAAACTCTCTCTCTCAAAGCGTTAGACTTTGTTAAGAACAAAATCACAGGGTCACAGAATGTTCTGGGAAGGGACCTTAATGATCATTCAGTTCCTGCCATGTGCAGGGCCACCTTCTGCTAGACCAGGTTGTCCATCCAACCTCGTCTTGAGCGCTTCCAGGGATAGGGCAGCCACGGCTTCTCAGGGCAACCTGCTCCAGTGCCTCACCACCCTCACAGTGAAGCATTTTCCCCCAATATTTAATATAACCTTTCTCCATTTGAAACTATTCCCCCTTGTCCTGTCACTACGTGTTCTTTTTTGATGCCCTTGTCCATCTTTCCTATAAGTTCCCTTCATATACATAGGATGCTGTAGACTCACTGAAACCTTCTCAGGGCTGAATAACTCCAGCTCTCTCATCCTGTCATCACAAGAGAAGTGTTCCATTCCCCTGATCATCTTCATGGTGCTCTTCTGGACCCACTGTAGCAGGTCCATGCCCTTTCTGTGCCAAGGACACCAGATCTGGATGAAATGCTCCAGGTGGGGACTCACAAAGTCACAGCCGAGGAGCAGAATCCCCTCCCTCAAACTGTTGGTCACACTTTGGATGCAGCCCAGGACACATTTGGCTTTCTGGGCTGCAAGTGCACATTGCTGGGTCACACTGACCTACTTCATCAACAACCCCCCTGCCAGGTTCTTCTCCCCAGGACTGTTCTCAAACCATTCTCTGCCCAGCTTGTGTTTGTGCTTCGATTTACACCAACCCAGATGCAGAACCTTGTGCTTAGCCTGGTTGAATTTCCTGAGGTTTTTAAATCGTGGGCACAATTAGACAATAAAATTTAAGCAGGAGCCAAATAATGAATGAGCAGAGGCCCCCTGCATACCTCAACTTGAGCGCCTACTCCCCAGCAGCATTTTAAATTGTCTGCTGAGATGGATCTCACTATGCTCCTGTGTGAAGTTGGAATAGCTGCACCTGCTGCCTCCATGGATGGCTTTAGAAGCTTGGGAAAGTCTGAAACTTTCTCTGTTTCATGTAGTATACCTTACCTTAGGTATTGTTTGCATGAATGGCTGTTTGCACATTGCTGCTTGCTCTAGCAAATAAAATTTCAGACTACAGTTCTCTCCACAGAAAAATAATAAAATGGCTACAAAATTTGCATTTGGTAAAAACCTTGTATTGCTTCTTTCTTTTCACAATATGTTTAAAAAATAGCATCCCTCCCTCCCAATTCATCTGCAACACATACCTGTCTATGGTGCAGACATATGGTTCTCTGTGGCTGGGATTTCGAATGAAGATGCCAAGGGCCCTGTATTTCAGGACTTCATGGAAAGTGCTCCAGAAAATGCCAGTAACAAGGAGACAGAGCCCCAGAGCTAACAGGCAATAAAACACTAGCTTGTTGTACCCACATCTGCACATGGAGGAATTCATGGACATGCAAAGTACTCCCAGGCAAATAGTGGAGAAACTGAGTAAGAGCATAAAAAGACGAATTAAAGTGAAAAGACCTTTTGGCATCTTTTGCAGAAGACACAGCACTTGGTTCCTGTCTGCTGTTTGCTGGCTCTCTGCTGTACTTCTCATATTCATGTATGGGTACTTTATATGCTACAGGACCAACTGCCCTGTAGACAATTAAGAGAAGCAGGCAGTTTTAACCTACTCATTAACTCTTTGAAGACTTATAAACTCTTTTGAGATTAATTTGTAACCTTCTACTTACTTTAGGAAGGAAGTAGAAACTTCCTGAACCACCCCTTTGCTGCTGTAATCTCTGGAGTGTAAACTTGGACTGCTCCCTTCATTGCATGATTTGCAGTGGTTTATACACTTCATTGCTTATGAATGAGACCTGTATTTGTTAAATTTGACTTGACTTTAAAAGAAAAACAACCAACAACCAGCACAGATGCTCTTCATGGATCCCCATTAAAAATTTGAAGGGAAAATATGCTTCATATAACTGCAGACATTGACATGGGTGGGGAATGGGCATAGGTAAAAACTGCTGTTCTCTGTGGGGGGATGTCATCTCACGTTTTCTCTCTGACTTACCAAGATGAGGTAGCACTAAGGAATGTCTGGCAGGAGTCATTCTAGGTTCAACAAAGGATTTACTTCTCTAAGCATGTTGCCATGCAGTACCTTGATCCCGAGAGCCTAGGAAGCTGACATGAAGCACTTGCATGACCTATGCAGTCCATAAAGCAGTCCAGCACCTCAGACTGAGACACAGGGCAGCCTTGAGGGGTGTCTGTGAGCTCCCAGAAGCAGCAGAAGGCAATATGTCTCTTACTGAGCAGGTTTCCTAGATGTGGAGTTATCCAAAGATATGCTGGGCTCTGACTAGCATTCTCAGCTTTCTCTTAGCTGCCTAACTTGCATAGTTATTATTGGATGGGTATTACAACAGCCAGCTCACACCTCCCTATACCGCTTTGTAAGGTTCAAGTTGCAAAAACAGCAAAAAATTCAACTGCAAAAGCAACTGGTGACCCGACAAATAGATTACTTCCCTTAAAAGACCTGCTGCAGTGGAAAAGACATAAAGTGGAGCAGATTCCCACTAATGTGAGTTGCCACTCAGCATGGGGGCAGGTGCATGTTTCACAGGGATCGGGGGGGTGTTGTTCAGGGAAAACTGTTATTTTAGACACTGGCTTCACCAAATTCAGGTCTTTAAAAGAGGTGGCCCGGTTGTGACAGAGGAAATCGGTAACCAGGAGGGTAAAGCCATATGTTGGGAGTAGGAATTTGTGCAGGGAAGATGTGAGTGGAGCTGAGGACGTGAGAGACAGGTGGAGCACAGTGAAATGGCAGAGTCAGTGCTGCTGGATGCCCACTCAACAGCAACAGCTGCTCTTCCAGAAATGTAACTGCAAAAGTGTACTGTGACAGAAACACATTAAAATAAACTGTCTTTAAAGACAAGTAATTTACATCTGCCTTGCCTGATATGAAGTCCACCAGTTCATCTTCCTTCTGCTGCAGGACTGTTTACCAGGACACCTTTGCTCTGTTGTTTCAAATACTAACGAATGCTTTTCTTTCAGTTTGTGTTCCCATAGGTAAACAGATCTAGCTGAATTTACAATAATCTTTTTTCTGTATAATTTCTACTTTCTGCATATCTGTTAAACATATTTTATTTTGCAAAACACTTTTTATTACTTCTGGGTTTTTTGATGTTTCAGATCTTAACTCACCTAAATAGAAATGTTGAGTTATTCATGACTGCTATCTAAAGTTCAGTTAATTAATGTAATTAATTAACTGAACTTTAGTCTTCTGTAATGCTACTCCTTCTGCTACAAGATGGTGTTTATGAAAGAATGATGTAGATAAAAATAATTTTTACTTCTTGTTTTCTGCATAGATCTGTACTCACTTGCCTGTTTGGTCATTGAAATTTATACCTGGAACATTATAGCATCATATCTGTGGTGATAAAGGATTAGTTAAATGTTACAGGAAAACCTGGACAGTATTCTCTCTGTGTGAAAAAAAAAAAAATCTAAGAATACCATTACACTCCCTTTCTATACTAGGAAAAGAGATAAAAAGGGGTAGTCTGAAAAAATCCTTAACAAGGAAGTTAAAAAGATTAAATAAATACTGTAACTCTCAGAAGAATCAAAAGCCAGTGACTAGGCTACACCTCACTTAGAGGGAGGAACTGGGTAGCTCTTTAGAGGGAGGAAGGATAGTACTAAGCCAAAGAAAAACTAATTTTCTATGCCAGCCCTGACAACCCTAAGAAACAGGGTTGAAAGAGAAGCAGGCAAGACCTGTCAGAGGCAGCTGCTGGCTCCACAGTTTGGTGAAGGCAGAACCAACCCTTGGGGAGGGAGCAGGCCTGCGGAGAGGCTGCAGGGTGCTCTGGCCAGAGAACAGCCAGCTCAGCACTGCCCAGCGGCTGGGGATGGGGGGCACAGACCCCCATCAACATAACAAGGGGTTAGTCCTTGCACTGCTGTGGGAGAAGACAACATATATAGGTTGGAGCGTTAACTTCCTTTTATGGGGAAGATAGATATCTGCCTCTTGTTGTGCATTTGGAGATTTGCAGGGTTTTTTTTGTAGGCTGCAGAAGTTCGGTGATTTCTCCAAGAGGTCAGTTTCATCTGTGGCAACAGACTGTGGGTATATTACCCTTGAAAACAGCATCTGTATCTCACCCAGTGGGTGGATAAAGGAAAAGGTTAAAAAAAGGTGACAATAGCACCATAATGCTGCTTAATTATCAGGGTTCCATTATTTTTCTTAATTTCCATCACTTCAGATTTTCTGTAATGTTATTCTTGGCCTTTTCCAATTTCCCTAACATTTTGCAGCTTGATTGTTTTATTGGCAGTGACTGTCTTGGACTGCATTGCACTGGATGAGCAGATTTCCTATTTCTCTTACAAAACAGGAAGAAAGTTGCTTCTAATGAGATCAGGTGGGAAAAGGGAATAACTAACACGGTGTAAAGGTTACTGAGCAGAATTGGCTGCAGTCCAAGGTCAAAAGGTAGCAGTCCAGATGGAGAAAAAGCAATTCTTAGGAAGTCTGATTGAAGATGAACTTAATGGGTGTTCCACTGGATGATTTGATGATTGTGATTGGCAATTTGCATTTCACTTTGAAAGGTCACTGCTTATCCTGTATCCTGTTGAAACACGTAAGGCTTCAACAAACCAGTTTCTAGAATTACACTGCTACTCAAAAAGAAATTTGTGATATCATACGCATTTTTATGAGAGTTGTGAAACACAAACTTATTTTTTAACTACAAATAAAGTGGAATATTTAATAATCAAAAAATTAAAAATAGGTTTTTTAATGCAAATACTTGGGGAGTGTTAGTGCCAGCTGCATATCATATCACATCACAGTACATGCATGATATAAGATCATATTTGAGGTCACATTTTCTACTAAAAAGTGATAGTGTACCAGAAATTTGAAGATTATATGTTTTACTCTGTCTGAAAGGGATTATTTTTTAATAAAACTCTGAATTTACACCAGTTTTGATTTTTTTCTTCTGTAACTTTCTACCACGCTTAGCTGACATGATTTATTGTAATAGCTGACTTAAAGGGTTTTTTATGTTGTTGTCAATAATTCAGAGCAGATTTGCCAGTGGGTTTCTTCAGCAATTCCAGTATTCCTTAGAAATATATAACTGATACAATGGGAAATGATTTTAAGCTCTGCAGGTGTAGTCTCTTCTCCATATCATACCTGAATTAGTGACAGTTTTGAGAGCATAGAAAAGTTTAAGAATGACTGAGAGTCGATGCAATATGGACATCAAAATCATATTTCATAGATCAGTTTCCAGCCTGAGAATGTGATGATGCCTAGGCAAAGCAAGATGCATGAACACAGCCAGGGCTACTCTTTGTGTCTGAAGGTATTGTGATTTCAGGAGGTGTGGCTCCTATTTGAGAATGAATCATTTAATTTCATAAAGGAAACTGGGTATACGTCATTCTACAAATACTTGAAAAGAGCAGAAATTAACTAACTGCAGGATTTTTGTTGAGAGATTTTCCCAAACGGTAGAGAATAGTTTACTCTAGATACAGGAAACAGAAACGAGAAATAAATACTTCAAAAAAGGAGAATTAAGATACTAAGTTTTAAAATCACTCCAAAAATTTTGATGTTTAACAGACAATATTGTAACAAATATTTAAACTTTATTTTTGGTGAATGAGAGATTCTTTTTTTCCAGGTATTCTTTCAAAATTTTATTGTTTATTTATTTATTAAAGAATGACATACAGTAAAACTTTGAACTATTGTTATCAAAAGTGATAACTAACAATAATTCAAAGTTTAATAGCTTAAAGCTTTAACATTTTAAATAGTTTAAAGTGATTATGTGAACTGGCTAGTCAGAAAAAATTACACATAAATAGGACAGTTCCCGAATGAATATGGAATTACCTGTGGTCTATCCGGCTATTTATTGACATATCTATCAGAATTGCATATTTTTGTAAAACTTTGAAATGAACATGATGGATTATCAAGACATCTGAGGCTAAAATCCTTTTAGTTTATATTTGTCAAAACCAGAATGCTAGCTGTGTCAGGAAAAAAAAATACAGTAGATACTGCTCTTCTTTTTCTCTTAGCAGGAAGATATAGTGGAAGGCTCTGAAAATGAAAATATAGGCATGCTTATTTGTCTCATGTTCACATATTTTAAAATACCATGTCTTGCCTGGTATGCAGGAGCTTGGGAAAACTATGAATTGCATATGAACATCTATTGAATCAGACATTATGCTTCTTTCTGCGGAATTAAGACTTAAAAAAATTATCAAGTGTAAAGTGAAATAGAATGCTTTTAAAATAAAAAAAAAAAAAAAAAACAAAAAAAAACCCCCAAACCAAACAAGAATAACCAAGCCCACAAAACAGAAGGCTTTGGTGTCTGTTTACCTAAGCATAAGGATCAGAACTGTGGGTAAACAGAGTGGCAGCCTGGCTGAGCAGTGTGGATTAGAGGCTATGCAGGGTCATCCTCTCCATTCTGCTCTGTTCCAACTGTTTGTGGTGCCTCCAGCACAGTTGTATCTGCATGA